TTTGGTTACTTTGGTGGCTGGGCGATTGAGGTGTTGTTGTTGCTCGAAGTCTCCCCTCTGTTTCTCGGCTTTTGGGTTGCAGGGGTCCGCCGTTCTTCTGCCATAGGTGTTGGTCGGTCAGGTGATGCGGTGTTGTGGGGGCTTTGGTCAGCTTTCAGGCGTTTCTTGGGTTGGGGCTGTGGCCATAGCATTCTTTTGTCGGTTCGGGGCAATTGGGTGTTATGGTCGTGGTGCAGGGTGGCTTGGTGTTGTTCCGAGGCTAGGGTATCGTCACCGTTAGGCAACCGAGTGGTTTAGGCAGTTTCGGGTTCGGTTCATCTGGCAGCGGGATTCACAGCCGTCTTGTTTCTGCTGGTTCGGTTAGGTGTTAGCTTCTTTGGAAGGGCTTGATTAGTTGTGTTGTTGTTATTTTGATTAGTAGTTGAGTGTTTTTGTTTGGTTTTTAGGTTGTGTGATTGTGTTTTTTTGGTCTGGGCCGTTGGCCTCAGTTTGCCCGAGTGTAACCTTATTATCCCGTTGGATCCTACACTCGGGTATTACCCTGTTGGGGTCTTTGTATTTGTGTGTAGTTTTTTATTTTACCCTGTTGGGGTCGGTTATCTAGGCTGGTCTTCTGACCTGTCCTCCCACTTTTCAGCTGTTGGCTGCTTGTATTCAGCTGTTAGCTGTCTGTATTCAGCCGGTGGCTGGTTTTTATGTGATATAATATCTCTATCGTTTCGGAAAAAAAAAGAACCAATATGCCAATTACGGTACTGATGGAATAATAAAATATATCGTAATATATAAAATTTAATAAATAAATAAATTACTTTATTAACTATTATAAAATTCTCTAAATAATTTTTTTATAAATTTTAAAATAAAGTAAATATGTTTTTGACAAAGTAAAATATATAAATATTAAATACTTTATGTTCTTTCATTAATAGTAAAGTCATGTGCATCGTGGCACGCAATAGTGGTTTAAGTTACACTAAAATAATAATAATAATAATAATAATAATTTTTATGAACAGACATGCCTTTTTTGAAATTTCCCATATCTATTAATATATAAAGAGGGAATTAGAGGTGGCCAGTCCATGGGCCAGGTCACGGTCCGGCCCGGCCCGCCGGATCCACGGGTCGCAATTTCATGACCCTTGACCGGACCGCATTTTCTAAGGGCCGCGGTCTAACCGGCCCTGAACCGCCGGGTCACGGACCCACCAATTTTTGGTCGGTTCCGGGCCGGTGCGGCCCGCTAAAAAATACACTGCCGCCCGTCTTTCAACCCGCAGACCCGGCCTGGCTCGGCGCGTCGAGACCGAAAAAAAAAAAATGAACCTTAACCGAACTGCGACCCTACGGGTCCGGTTCAACGAACCGGCCCTTAAGAGTCCGGTTCAAGGCCGGTTCGGTCCGGGTCGGGACCGGTTCGCGGGTCGATTCCCGGGTCGGTTCGGACTGTGGACATGTCTAGAGGGAATGATAGTTGTTTGAAAAAATCAATTAAAAAATCAGCAAAAAAAAAAAAGATTTGGTTTCCCGCATAAAATATTTACTAAATTGAGTATTTTTCTTTTTTTGCCAAAATTTGAAAAATTTTGCTTATGTGATATCTTCTTTATGTTTTTCAAAAATTTAAACTGTGAGCATTGGATAAGTTTGGAAACAAAAATCAAGCTTAATTTTGTGCCTATCCAATATACTTTTTGTGTCTATCCAATATACTTATGCTATTTATTTTTGTAAGAGCCGCTTCTCATGCTAATAAAAAATCGATTTTTGTTAACAATTTGTATATAATAATTTTCACAACAATTGTGAAATTGTGCACAATCAGAATTTAACAATTTGACCAAAAACGTTAAATTAATGAAATTGGGCGCAATCAAGAAACTAAATAAATATTTACAATTAGAATTTTAATTTTAAAGATAATTGATAATTGTATATTTATCTTTTATTTGAATTATGTATAGCTTTGAAAAACAATAAAACATAATTTTATCAAGCATATTTTGTTGGTGATAATTTGTTAATATATTGTTCCATTTTTTTATAATCGTCTATTAGCGAAAGATTATATTTTTTAATTAGTTTTTAAAAAAAATAAATCAAAAATATTAACAAAATCAGAATTATCATAAATATCAAACTAATTTTTGTGGTTATCAGAATTATAAAAATAATTAACAGCTATTTAAAATTACTTATTTCTATGGACTATATCATTCAATATTAAATCTAATAGGAAAACATATTGATATGAACGAAAGAAATCCATGTTAATCAATACAAAACCACACGTATATATAGTGTATGTTTTAGCGTGCGATTTTGATGGTAGATCCATTAATATATAAAGAGGCAATTATATTTACTTGAAATAATAATTAAAAATTAGAAAAAAAAAATATTTAGTTTCCCGCCTAAAGTATTTACTATATTGAGTAATATTTTTGGTCAAAATTTTAAAAATTCCGCCTAAATTAATGTAATTAATGTACAAAATCATTTTAGTCAAATATTGCGACTATTGCCTTTATTAGTTGAATGATTTAAATTTGGAATATAATATTTTGACAAAACTTGTAGGTATTACCTTTATTAGTTGCATAGTTTAAATATAGTATATAATATATTGAAAAAAGTAAAAAATTTAAAAATAAAAAATAATTATTCATAACTTACGGGTTAATATTAACTTGGAGGTAAACGAAATAGTCTATTATTTATAGTTTAATAAATTCTCAACTACTTAATTTTTTTTATTTGAACAGTTTATACAAAATAAATTATTTTAAGTAATGAAACAATAAAATTTTATATATACACTTATTATTCATATAGGTTGTTAAATATATGATAACATTTTATCAAAATAACTATTTTATGGAATAACATTACAGTCAAATCGAAGTTCTGAATAAAAATTTTGAAATGATACTTATTTTAAAACGAATATAATGTAATTTGTTATCAGTTATGTACACCCCACGAGTTGTGTACTAATTTTAAATAGAAATTGTTATGTAATTTTGTAGAATTTAAACTTTATATTACATTTTCAATAAATGAATAGAGGTAATTGTATTAAATACTGATTCTATATTTTTAATTTATAAATATTACTTAATAAAAAATCTTAATTTAAAATATTAATGAATATCTCTTACCCGTGCACTGCACGGGACTCGTACTAGTATACTTGTTATGCAGATGCAATTTTTGACCCACTTAGCCATTAAATCCACGAGGGAGTAAATCGTAATTACATATCCTTTGACTTTTACTATTTAGTTCAAAAAGGCTTTTGTAGAGAGTGAAAATAGCGTAAACAGAGCTGTTCCTGAATAAAAAGACAAAAAACAAGTTTAGAAACCCTCTTTATAGGTTTTTAACTTCCGGCTGTTGTCAAAAAATTATCGAATTTTAAATAATTATTCGAAAGAGGTAATCTATTTCATACATAAACGTATATATACACTCGCGCATACTTTGTTTTTCTCAACTGTGTTTCTCTGTTATGATCGCTTTTCGTCATTTTGTTTCTATAGAGGCGTTCGTGTTCGGTTGCGCCATTGTTCCTTTTTGTTTTTTCTTATTTGTGATTGGTCATCTGTTGTCTGCAGTTTCTGTGTAATTGTTATGCGAATTGCTCATTGAATCGAGCTTGTGGTGCATGTTTTTTTTTTAATTCCGTTTATGGCTGTAAATTTTAGGGTTTCTGAATTGTTGGGTTTAGGGCCATTTTGGGTTTGGATTAGAGGGCTCAATGGCTGTTTCTTTCCGACATATTGAGATGAAATTGAGCTATTCATTAGTTTAATGACATTTAATTTGATGTTGGCGTCAAGCAAATTATAGATTTCAAGGTTTATGCAAGGATGATGATTTGGGTTTTGCTCAGTGGTGAAGAAAATGGCTTCGATCAGTAATTTAGAGTGAATGAATTATTAGGAATGTTGAGATTGTTTTTTACCTTGATGATCATAAGAAGATTGTTTTGGATAATTTTACCGCTTAAATTCTGGATGTTCTTTATTGCTGTACGAAAACACAGGTTGATCGTGTGACTTGAGAAAATTTTGTTGATTCATGTGGATTTGTGCCCATGTACAAACTGCACCTTTGGAAAAGAATTGTTAGATGCTAACCACGAGCAAAAACTTCTTTTAATTCCATGACTGTTGTAGAGATGTGAGGATTTCGGTGACTCCTATGTTTCTTTTGGTTGGCTAAGTGTTGCAATTGATTTGTTGTATCTCATAATTTGTTGATGTAATTCTATCATGTAAGTGAAACTGTAGTTTGACTGTATAACTTCACTTTCAAATTTCAATATTTTTTGCACACCCTTCACGTGTACTCGTGTTGCTGTGAGCAGTGAACACAATCTTTCTCTTGCGTCTCATTCCTTCTTTCCTTTTTTTTTTCTGCTTTCTTTTCTTATTTTATTTTTCTCTTATGCCTGATTGTAATGGAAAATTTGACCAATTACAACGAATCACTTTCTTCCCTAGCCATCTGCATCCTTTATTACAAATGCAGTTATAACCTACAAGTTACTCATTATTGCGCTTAGTTTTACACTTTTGTTGTCGGAACCAATGGTACCAGAGGATTGCACATGGTATTTTAATGCATTTTCTCTTCTTAACTCGGTTATGATGTTGCATAGGCTGAGACACTTCCCACTGGCTGTGGTAATTCAGCCTTTTCCATTTGCTGCTGATTTTCGTCTGGAAAAAGCTTACGAAGAAAAAAAGAAAAGAAAAGAAAGAGCGATATAAAATATAAAAATGAAACGAAGACGTGGGAGCAAGAAAGGACGGACAAAGAAGCCGAAGCTGGGTAGCACAGATGACGGGGCTTCGAATGCTGTTAGTCCAAATACGGATGACAATGACTCTGGGCCAGACGAGTCTGACCACGAAGAGGATATCTCTGGAGTTGATGCTGATGCTGAGGCTGAGGCTGAGGCTGAGACAGAACCCGAGGTGGCTAAACCTCCTCCTGAAACCATTCAGCCCGAAAAACCTGTAAATACTGATATTTTAAGTCGGCCAATCAGTAACACGTTTGGTAAGGCAGTGTATACGCGCGTGAAAGTGAGGATCAAGACTTCGAAAAATTTGGATTCCCAACGTGCCTCCTCTGATGCCCCCATTCAGATTGATACCGGAAAGAGTGGATTCCAGTTGGGTTTGGAAAAACAAGAGGTTCCTGGGGAGAAAAGGGAGGACAGTGCAAACTCTCTGTCCGAGACAAATGGGGGTGGGTCCGGAAATACTTCTCAAAAGTCGTTGGGCATAAAGATTAAGTCCAAGGGATTGGGTTCAACGTGTATGAGCCCGTGCAGCAATACTGAAACCGTCAAGGGAGATAGGGTAGAAAAGAAGGATACAGAGTCACTTCAGCAGGAGTCGAGATCCAATGAGCAAGAGTTGAAAGCTGCACTGGAGGTAGAAGCACAGTTGTGGTAATGGGAATATGCTGGATGCTATGGTTTTCCTTATTTAACTGTTAATGTATTTTATTTTTAATTATTTAGGTGATAAAAAAAGTGATGAAGATGGATGCAGCTGAGCCCTTCAATGCTCCAGTGAACCCTGTTGCTCTTGGGATACCGGTAAGTAAATTTATTTCTCTATGATATTAATGTTGTTTTCTGCTTTTACTATGGACTCATTCATCTATGAAATGTGGTCAGTGGACTTGTTAGAGTTATCATGTATGGTTTGCTAATGTGGAGTCATGTTGTGCAAAGATTGTATACATTCATCAGACCTAATTGTGTTTGTCTTGATGTCTGGAATGGAAACAGGACTATTTTGATGTCATCAAGACACCGATGGATTTCGGTACGATATGCAATAACCTTGAGAAAGGTGTGAAGTACAAGAACTCGGAGGATGTCTTCAAAGACGTACAGTATATATGGGAGAACTGTTACAAATACAATAATAAAGGTGATTATATAGTGGAGCTTATGAGGCGGGTGAAGAAGAGCTTCACTAAGTATTGGACGGCTCTTGGTTTATTCAATGATCAGCCTCAGGAAAATAATGGTATTGTTCTTCTCGTTTATGCTATTCCTCTTCGTTCTCTGGGTTAAAGTGGTGCACTTGGCTCTAATGTGGTTGCTGAATAAGCTGAATGGATTTTTCTCTATTTTCCTTCATTTCTTGTATTTTCTTCGTGTGTGTGTGTGTGTGTGTTTGGATAAAGAAATTTTCAGAGAAGGTGGTCTTGAATGTAAGAAGCAAATTTCTTCATGACGTTTCTTAGTCAGGTTGAGTCAATGTATTTGACCAGATCATCCCAGAGAAATCAATGTTTGATAATTTTGCTTTATGGTGAACAAGATTATTTACGTTAATAACTCAGCATTTCTTGTTTTATAGGTTCAGAAAGCAATGCAGTAAAAGAGCTCAGTCCTTCAAGTGAAGGGAATACGCCAGTGGATGGTGGTGCCTTGAACCTCTCAGGCAAAAAGTTCCATGGGTATGATAATTCAGTGTCTGCCTGTATATGCTTTATTGGATTTTTGTCTTACATGCTTTCTAGTCAACAAAATTTTTAGAAACTCGACAAATTATGCATCTAAGTGAGCAATGGGAAATGCTGAACTTTATACGGGTTCTTAATTAGATGATTTTTATTTATTTATTTATTTATTTTTTTGTATAGATGTACTCACATTGATTTGTTTTCTGATTATCCACTCTGTATTAGACTGCTGTAGAGAACACTTGCGGTATCAGAATGGTAGCTGCATGTAAATTACAGAATATTATCATGTGGCCCTATTTCTTTTCCCGATCAAAGTTGGAGCCTTTTGTGTACTTGAGTTATCTTTCTTATTATGCTCTGAGCATAGGTTTTTGATATGACTATTTGGTCTCACATGACCATGGTGCTCTGGCACACAGCGAATGTGGAGTTGCTTTCTTGAAATTGGTAATGTTTATAAATTTATATATGCAGGCTTAAGAAGCACAAGGAAGGTTGCCAGTGTGCAATTTGTGTAATGATGCGCCGTAGACAGGAAAGAGAGGAGATTGCTCGTATGATGGGTGGTCAGACTGAAGGCAGTGATGATGACTCCATGGGTGAAGAAGATAATAAGCCAAATGTATATCTCTCTATTTGATTTTTTATTTTTTCAGTTAGTATTATTAGATTTATTTCTTGGTCTATGTGTTTTGCAAGATATGAGACAAATAGCTGCAGCAGCAGCAGCAGCAGCTTCAATCCGCAAATTCAGTTTTCCGGGTTTTAGTTTTTCCTGGAGTTTTTTCATTTTTTAGGGTTTCAATTTTGTATTTTTCCTTCTTGAGTTTCTAAGGGTTCATGTAACAGTTTTTTCAATAAGTTTCTATAGAGTTTTATATTCTTTGGTATGGAAATTATTTGACACTTTCTAGTGGACAGTCATGTTAGACCTGATTTGGTAGTGCCTGATTCATTTAATTTAGGATCAGAAATTTGAATAATTTTTCTTCACCATTTTTTTTTCTTTCTAAATTTTATTTTCAATATCACTGTAGGGGATCTCACGTGGAGGCAGTCCTTTTGGTGAATATGCCTCGTCAAATATGGAGAACTCATCTGATGCAGAGACTGGAAGGAGAGGGCAAGAAATGAAATTGGGACACATCAGAAATTTCTATGGTCAGCACTTGGAGAATGCTGGAAAACGAGAGGGGTCTCAGGATTTGCAGGTGGGTCATGACAGCCTCCATTATTTGGCCTCACACGAGACTTGCAAAGATAATGGAAATGCTGCTACCAACCAGGAGATGCCTAAGGTAGTCAAACTTTCTCATACCTTTATCTCATGTATAATTGAGTATGAAATTTCAAACTGTCGAGAAGTGGGGCTAATTGTAAAGGGAGAAACACCTTGAGGTTTAGCCTAATTACAATTAGCGAAAAGCATTTTGAAAGAAAAATGAAAAAAGAAAATACTTGTACATTTATGTTGTCTTGCCTTTTCTTCTCTTAAAAAACATAGCAATTACCCAAAAATTTTTAAAAGCCTCCGGGGTTCTTTATTTGTATTGTTACTTGTTCAATTTTAGTGGACTTTTAGTGCAAACCTCTAACATTATCAGTTTCAAAATCATAAGTGACTCATTTGTATGGTTTTCTATTTTCAACAGATTGCACCCTTAAATATTAGTTACGGATTCCTTTTTTATTGGAAATTTTCTTTACTTTGTTCTTTATCTGCTCTTATTAAAAATGAGGAGGCACTGGATAAGAATCAGAGGGCTAAAATGTTGGAGAATCTCCGTTATCTGGACAATCCAATGCTTTTGGATTTATACGGGACTCTGTTTGTGGATAGTTCGAGGTCTTTTTGGAATGGACCTCATTCATTGAGTGGTGGCACCAAACGAAGGAGTTCTTTAAGTTCAGCTATTGCGTCATTAATGAAGTAATAGCTGCTTGGCATTTGATTTTTGTTATTCACATTACAAGGGCGTTAGTGATTGTGCTCTTTTTGCAGGAGATAATGTAATAAGATGATAACTTGGTATTGTTGGAACCAATACACACAATAGCCTTTTATAAGTTTGAAATGAATAGATTGTGATGTCACACCTTATTAGAAATTCAGTGTCTTTTTCTTTTTTTTTTCTTTTTCTTTTTTTGTTCTTTTCTGGTCCTGTTGTTTAGTTTCTTTTAGATTCCGAATGTAGGCTTATGTTTTGTAAATCTGCGAGAATCCAATTATCATTACTTGTTTATGAATGTTATGACTTTCTTTTTCATTGTTAATGTTGGTCTGTGCTGCTTAATGATTAATCATATATGCTTTCTTTTTGTACGGAACAAGTAAAGTGAAAGCACATAAAATGAAAGTAGACTTGTCTTAACTCTTTAATTAAGCAAAAAAGATTTGTCAGTCATTTATATTTGAGAAATGTTGTAGGTACATAATATTGTACATAGAGGTGTACATAATATTTACATTGAGTGGCACCGACTAAAACCTAAAAAAAAAAGAGTAATGCTATAGGTACATAATAATGTACACAGAGGTATACATAATACTCACATTGAGTGGGTTCTACCAAAAAGGGTTTATTGCACCAAATCCCCCTGTATTACACGAAATCTGTGCGTTTTTCCCTTATATTCTAAAAATTGCGTCAAATCCCTTCGTATTTAATGTTTTCATGCACACTCGCCATTTAATGTTAACGACGTTATTTTAATACTGACGACGTTACTTTTTTGCTAATTTTACCATTATACCCTTACTTTATCATTGATTTTACCATTTTACCCTTACAACTAATATGTTGAATTAAAAACAATGGCAGGAATTGAACCCATAACCTTTGGGTTGCAAAAAGACATTTTGACCAACTGAGCTACTAGAAATTTAGCTATTATTGTGACTGTATCTATATATATCATACGAAATGACGGAAATAATATAATAATTAGTATATAGATTCTAAATTATAAATAAGATAATAATTTAAGTAAATATTTTCTAAGTTGTAAATATTATAATAATTAAGTAAATATATTCTATATTACTAATAATAATAATTCGATATATAAATTCTATATTTTAAATAATATAATGATTAAATAAATATATTCTTAATTAAAAATAATTTAATGATTGAACAAATAAATTCTATATTATAAATGATATACCAATTAAGAAAATAAATTGTAAATTATAAATAATACAATAATAAAATAATTAGATTTTATAAAAAATTAATAAATATATTATATAAATAATATAATAATTGAATAAATTGTATTTTAAAGTATAATTATAATTATAAATTATAAATTATATAACAATTTAGTACATAGATTTATACTAATTGAGTTGATATATTCTAAATTCTAAGTAATATAATAATTAAGTAAATAGAATATAAATTATAAATAATGTAATAACTGAATAAATTACATACTAAATTATAAATAACTAGCACGTATCACGTGCGATGTACGGGACATAAGTATTAATGAGTTATTTCCACAGAACTTGTCCGTTAAGTAGCTCGTGCGATTCACGGGAGATATTAAATGAGTGGACCATAGGGATTGTCCGTTCAGGCCTAAAAATAATAAAGTTTGATCATCTATCTTTTTACATCTTTTCATCAACGTCATTTTTTTTGTCGGAACATTAAACCTGAGTCTGGTAGCGCTAGCCCGAATATATTATCTCACTCACATGTTTATAATAATATAAATTTGATTTCATATATATTTATTTATTGATATAAGAAAAATAACAATTTTACGTAATCTTGTTCCTCGTATAATACTTATATTATTTCATTATAAAATTTATTGTAGTATAATGTCATTATTATTATAAGTTATAGATGTAATCTTCTTCTTCTTTTTGTTTTATGTAACTAAAATATTTAATGTATGTTCATATTATTTATTAATGTAATTAATTTAAATTATGTAAATAAATTTAAAGTAAAACATTTTGTACAAATTATTTTACATTTATATTTTTTAATTTATTTAAATAAAATTATCATTTTATATTCTTATTAATTAGTAATATATTTATTTATAATATATTTATTTATTGTTTTCAAATTTAACACATAGTTTTATTCAATTTAATTTTTATTTTGTTTTATCTTTATAATTACTTTATTTTTTGATTATTTTATTTTTTGTTTTGATTGAGTTTTTTTCTGTTTTGTTGTTCTAAATAAGTTTGTGCTAGGTATGTACCATAGAATGATGATGGCACAATGGTTGGAAGCCTTGCTATGGAGCTTCTGGCTCAGGTTCGAATCATAAGAGCATCAAAGCATTAATTTTGGTGAATAATGACTAGTATAGCAAGAGGCAAAATAGTAAATTTCAATTTTAAAATAAAAAATATATGAAAAAAATGAATAATTATCGCATTGCTGCAATGTGTACTACACGCTATGTCAAGTTGGACGGAGAGGGAGAATCGTGCAACAGATAGTTAATTATAAGGGGGTATTACGCAATTTTTAAAATATTAGGAGAAAACGTGCAGATTTCCTTAATACAAGGGGGTCATGTATATTTTACCCCTACCAAAAATAAAAAATTAAGTAGATTCCACTTCATGTGAGTGTCATGTACACCTTTATGTACATTTATTATGTACTTGTAGCATTTTTCAAAAAAAAAATAAGTGGACCTCATTCCATGTGAGTGTTATGTACACCTTTGTATACATTTATTATGTACTTGTAGCATTTTTCTTTATATTTTAGATGAGAGGATGTTTTTTTTTTTTTTTTTTTTTTTCACAACGATAGATTTTATAACAAAAGAAAATGTACAATATTTACATCCGGACTACAAAATAGCAGTAAATAAGGAGCGCCAACAATGGCGGCCCGATCAACCAGAATAAAGCAAAAGGACCATTACCAAAATCTATTCCCGGCATAGGTTGCTGCTATGAAGTCCGAGATAGATTATCGTAATGATTTTGACACTAACTGAGTAGCATCAGACAAAAGATAAACCTGCCACTGAACCTAGGGACCTAGCAGGTTTATCACTACAGATGAAAATAAAAGCAAAGCAAAAAGGAAAACTAACTAACAGAAGCAAGGGGAGAAAGGAACATTGCGCAACATGGAAGCTACACATTAATGTACTCAGACCAGGCTGAAGTTGCTGCCTTTACTATGGTGTACTCTGAAAGCCAGAAGTTTTGGAAGACCCAAAGGTTGCGGGACTTCCAGAGCCACCAAAGGAGGTACACTGTCAGTTGAAGTCTTTGATCATTGGTAGCATTCTTCTTCAGTGTGCATAGCTTAGTCCACCATTGTTTGAAGCAGAAGGTTGTATCATCCAATCCATCCCATGAAATTGCAGACATTTTCCACACAGTTCTGGCTTTTGCACAATGGAACAGTAGGTGCTCAACAGTCTCTTGTTCCTCTCCACAGGTTTTACATATAAGGTCAAAGGGATTAATTCTTTTGTGGAGGGACTTGCTAACTGGTAATGAATTGGTGAAACACCTCCAAATGTAGTGCTTAAGTTTAGCTGGCACTTTCATGGACCAGATAGTATTCCTAGTTCTTAGGGTCTGTTTGATGAGTGAGTTGTTTTCAGGAACATCAAGTTTCTTCCACTTTTCTTCCACCGGAGTTTTGTAAACATCAGCCACTGAAAGATTACCTGTTTTGTTGTGCAGCCAGGTTAGTCTGTCATGCTTTAGAGGATCCATGTCTTTAATTCTGAGGATGGCAGTGCTCTCTTCAGTAGGGAAACACTGATTCACCAGCTCCACATTCCAATGCCTTCCTGTGTCATCAAGCAAGTCCTGCACACAAGTTAATCTGTCCTGCCATGGATTATTTGGCTTTGGTCTGCAGCTTGGAAGTGAGGGTATCCATGGATGGTGCCAAATATTGATCTCAGCCCCATTATTTACTTTGAATAGCACATTCTGAGTAAAAAAAACTAGTGTTTTCCTCCAGCTGGCCCATAGCCAAGAGACATTGTTTTGTTTCTTTGCTGAAAAGAGTGAAGAATTTGGATAGTATCTAGCTTTTAGTACCCTGCTCACTAGCAAATTAGGGATTGTATGCAGTCTCCACAGTTGTTTGGCAATGAGTGCTGCGTTCATGAGGTGAATATCATGAAAACCGAGGCCCCCCTTGTCCTTTGGAAGAGTGATAGTATCCCATGATTTCCAGATGCCTCTAGCTCCATCTTTCTTAGTTTTCCACCAAAAATCAGCAAAGTGTTTAGCAATTTTTTCACAGGTACCTTTGGGGAGAATAAAACATGACATTGCATACAGTGGTACAGCTTCCAGGACTGCTCTGAGGAGTGTTTCCTTACCTGCAAGAGATAGAAAATTGTTTTTCCAATTTGATTTTATTTATTTATTTATTTATTTTTTTTATTTTTTTTTATGGCTTCCTCAATGTAGGAGAAGGTTTCCAGTTTGGTTTTGCCAATTCCTAAGGGTAATCCAAGGTATCTGGAGGAGTTTTGGGGTTGAATACCCATTAGGACCTGGCAAATGGCAGATTTTGTGTGTTGGGATGTATTTCAGCTAAAGAAAATTGAGGATTTTTGGAGGTTGACACACTGCCCTGTGATGGCATTATACTGGCTAAGGATTTTCAGGATTAGGTTTGCTTGATTGGTGTCAGCTTTGGAGAAAAGCAGTGTGTCATCGGCAAACATGAGGTGAGTTAGGGTGGGACTGTTTCTGCATATTTTAATCCCTTGAAAAAGCTCTGAAGATGAAAAGCTGTGAATAATAGTAGATAGAATTTGAGACACTAAAAGGAAATATATGGGGATAAGGGGTCTCCTTGTCGAATTCCACTAGTAGGGACCACATATCCACAGACAGAACCATTTACATTAAAAGAAAAAGAAGTTGAATTTAAGCAAGCCAGAATCCACTTAACGAAAGAGTCATGAAATCCTAAAGTAATCAAAATATTTCTCACACAAGTCCATTCAACTCTGTCAAAGGCTTTGGACATATCCAGTTTAATGGCCATATAACAATAGTTGCCTGTTATGTGATTATTGAGAAAATGCTAGGCTTAGGCTAGCTACAACCCTTAGCTCTATTTTGTTGTATATTCGTGTTATACTATACTCAACGTGTATTAATCACCTTATTTTAATTTATTTAACATATCAAAATATAATTTAATTAGATATATTATTTTACACTAAATATTTTCACAATGTTATGTTGCTTTGAAATACTATAGGATAAATAGTTATTATTTTTGTATATTTATTTTATTCATTTT